GTTGTCATTTAATACAAATTTAAACACAAAATTCAAAATCACTTGTGCATAATCAGGTGAGAAGTTGGTAAAAGAATTAGGATTTTCATATAAGCGGGCAAGGAAAATGATTATTTTACAAAGAAATTCGAGCTTGAAGCGGATAATCAAGCGAGGGTGGATGACTACATACCTATTATGCATAACTAAAATGAAGAGAAGTATCAAAACTGACCTGAAATTCTTTAAAATTCGACTGGAGCCCCCTTTCCATGGCTAAAGAAGCAATCGACTGAGCAAATTTCTCGGTCTCTGTCCTGTCAGTATCAACACAAACCAACTGCTCACCACACGCACAACACTTCCCATTCGAGGCGATAATCGATCTCCTTGGGACCCACTCTCCCTGCCCAAACCATCCTAGTCCATGCCACCCACCTCCGTTCCTCATAACAACTTCCTTAACCTCATCGGGAGGAAACTTGACAAAACCCACTTCTGCAGCCTTTTTCCCTCTGAACCAACTCTCTATAATCGAGACTGTTGGCTCGTCAACTCCTCTCAGTGTCACTCTCAATTTATGTAGATACTCGTAGACCTTGTTTTCCCTCTCCATCTCGACACTCACCTTTCAAAATAACATGTAGATCATGTGTATTACTCAAGTGCACAACTTTTTAAAACTAACATAATTAGGATCTTCATATTCAGAGACAAAAAACAGACGCAAAACAGTATATATAGAAGTGTTTCAACTGTCATACAAAACCAATAGGTTCAGAAAAAAATATTGAAACCATGTTTATTGCTTAAATAACATATTTATCTGCACTAATGAAGTTTAGTAGGACACAATATTTGCACAAGTAATTTAAGGGCATTGCTAAAACAACTGAATAAGCATAACCAAATCTGCTTTAGAAGAAATAAAAAGGGGAAACAGAAAAAAAAAAAAAAAAGGAAATTTCTCACTTTTAGCAAAGCTGCGAGCTCGGATTCTTCTAAACGGAGCCCAACGGATTCGACATGCCCCTCTACTTCATACGCCTTGTCCGCCGCTCCACTTCCGCAAAAGCAAATCAACGCCGGCACAAAAGTCCTCAGCTTGGGCGCAACCGCGTGGCTCTTCACGCTCTTCGCGAGATCGAATGCGTAGTCCCCGTCGCCTTTCGCCGCCGCGAGCCGGGCCACGGCGGTGAGCGTCGCCTCGTTTGGCTTGAGATTCTCGTTGACATGGTCTTGGAACAACTTGAACCCAAACTCAATGGCGGATTGTAGGGTTTCGGGATTGGATAGGGACTCGGAGCAAATGTAGAGAAAGGAGTTGAGGTTGTTGAGATTGAGGGTCTGAAAAGGGGAAGACTCGTAGAGAGAGATGGCGGCGGAGAGGTCTTTTGCTTTCGAGCAGCGGTCGAGTGTTGATCGGAATTGAGCTTCCGGTGTCAGTTTCTGCTTCTTCCGCCTCGGGTTTTGGTGCTTCATGGTGGCGAATTGGGTGGCGGGATGCCGGGGTTAAATCGTCGGCTGAAACCTAACGGGTATTAGAAGGGACGTTTCATCTTTAATAACTAGCTAACTGCTAATTAGATGAAGTAGATGGCCTTGTTTGGTAATTAATTGTTAATTAATTGTTTTAATCGACAGATTAATTAGAGGTTTAGAAAAAATACTATTTGGTGAAATTAACTATTTTATTAATTATTATGTAAAATCGCTTATAGTACAATCTAATATATTACATACTCAATTAATATATCAATTTATATAAAATAACTTAATATAATGATAATTCATGAATAAGATACTACATAAA